AATGCCTTTTGTTGAGATTAACAAAAAAAACAAAAAAGATATAAAGATTTTGGTGCGCGATTAATTGGTTTTCATCTCTTCTGGACAGTTGGATTGGATCTATGTGGTTGAAATGGACGCGTAAGATTACAGTGCTGAGAATCCGTCGGTTTAAAAGAAAAATTGAGTCTCAGCTTGAACGTCTCACTAGGAATTTCCCTGAGGAAGGGTTCGTGGGTGATACTGCACGATACGGAGGTATCTCAGGCTGCTCGACCTTGTCGAGACAATGATCCATGCTGAAGTTTCCGGTCTGGTCTACTTGCAAGCTCTGGTGGTTGTTGTCTCTGCCATTCAAGATTTTGCTAATTCCTATAACCGTCAACGCCTCAGGGCAAATCTGAACACAAGAAACATTCAACACACAAGGATCTAGGGCGGTGGTCAATCCAACCAATACTTGAGGTATAGAAAAGAATCTGGTTTTTAGATGATCAATCTTCTGCTTTTAGTTGATGATCAATCAATCCTTGTGAAATTCTTTGTTGTGAAAACCTCTGGTTTTTTTAGTTGATGATCAATCCTCTGCTTTTAGTTGATGATACTCTTTTTCTTTTTTCTTTGCAGCTTCGGCTCGGACAAGACAACTCTTTTTTGGGTCTTTGAACAATTCTTCTTGAGTACCTTATCCGACTTTAGTTATTATTGTATTACTTTTGCTCTTTGTGATTAATCACAAACTAGTTGACTCCCCGCGTTATATGAAGATTAACTTTTTGTTTACAAGTTTCAAATAAAAATGATAAATATTATCAAATATATAAAACGTATTTAAAATTCATATTTAAAGAAACATTACTGAAATGTACTAATTAATTTTTTTAGAAAAATAAATACAAAATTTAGTTATGAAAGATTTTGTGAGGAATTTGTTTTAGTATGTATGTATTTAGGAGATTGCAACTTGCAGAACAATCTTATGATACAAATATGATAATATCGAAACATGTATATGCTAAAATATGCATGTTGTACAATTTTTTATAGCTAAATTTCGTATTTATTTCTTTATTTCCACAAAAATATTGTTTGATTTGATATTGAAGAGCAGTTTTTATTTTATTTTAAGCTAAATAAAAATACAGATTTAATCGATTTGTAAATTGAATTTAAAAATTATATTTTCAATATTAAAACGTAATAATATATAAGTGTATTATTTTTTAAGTTATGTAATTGTAACTTCACATACGTATGATCTTGAATATCTTGGTCATTTTAAAACTTTCTTGTGTTAAACATATATTCATATTTTTTAAAAATAATGTGAATATATTGTCATTTCTTTTAATTTATTTAGTAACAGTTCTTGTAATAAATATTTATTATAAAATTTTCATGATAAATTATATTTTGTTAAAAAAAAATAATTACAAAACATTACTAAAGAGTTTTTGTGAGAGATGTCATGTCATATTTTTTTGGGAAAGTGAATATGGAGATGAGATCTAAGCAAACTCTCACAAATCACTTCCCAAATAATATATAAGACACTATTAAACTCTTAAGCTGAAAGGAGAAAGGAAAAGAAGTAAATCAGAAGTGGGTTTGATGATTGTTAATTAGATTAGTAATTAGAACCATTAAGGCAATTAACTATTTAAAGGTCAACAAAAGGGGTTAGGTCACTCTCTATTTCTCATTTACTTGTTCCTCACGAACTCTAGGGGTTAGGTCAAATCACTATGACGACATACGGTGATGATCTCGCCAAGTCCATGTGGTCGAACCTTTGGAACCTGGCTGATGCCTCTGCTATGCTTTACGATGAAAAACAACTCGCAAAGTCCTCTGAGAAAGTCAAAGACAAGAGTCTTTATACGAGAAAATCAAGGACAAAGCTGAAGAAACCTGCTACTAGAGGAACAAAATTGTTACTTCAGTGGCCTTCTTCAACGGCCTTCTTCAAGAACGCAGCTGATTCTAAGGCCAAAGCCCTAAACACAAGAAGAAGCTGCAAGAGACGTGCCGTGCAAGAGAAAGAGACACCGAAGTGGCTGTTCCAGGTGATGGAAAAACTGAAAGGAGAAGCTTACGAGCCAAGGCTCATCTTTGAGAGGACTCTGACCAAAACTGATGTTGACCCTGGACAAAGCCGTCTCTCAATGCCTTTCAATCTTCTAATCCGTAACGATTTCTTGACGCAGGTTGAGTTGAGAATCATTGAAAAAGACATCAAAAACGATAACAAGACCGGAGTTGGAGCGATTCTAGTGGATCAAATGTGTAAAAAGTACGGTGTGATGTTGAAGAGATGGGAGATGAAGAAAGAGACAGGAAGAGGAAGCTGGAACTACTCTTTGATATGTGGTTGGAACGATGTCGTTAAGGCAAACGGATTGGAAGAGGGCGATTACATCAATGTTTGGTCTTTCAGGTGGCGTGGAGTCCTCTCCTTTGCTCTTGTTCCTGCTCTTTCTCCTGACAATGGAACAAAGTAGTAGCTCTACGGTTCCTCTAGCTCTGACAAGTTTCAATGATTGTTGAGACTATAACTTGATCGATCCCCTTTTTTTTCTTTTGCATAGCCAACTAATTTCAGGTGTGATTCTAGAGG